CACGAGTATATATCAGTGCAATTTCCTCCCTGAAGCGCACATTTTAAAAACACAACTTTGACTGATATGCACATTTGTGCAAGCAATTTCCCCAACGTAATGCGTCTTGGTATGTTCTTTTCACTAATGCATACATTGTTAATGCACGCATTGGTTGGAGAATGGCATTACAACATTCAGAGGAGAGCAAATTCTAAAGGACAATTGTGTTTGTGTATTTGTTCAGAAAGTGCAAATGGAGTCGTTTATGATTAAAATGCAGACAAAATTAAATTTCTCCCCCATCCTTACTTGCTACTTTGGACCATTTTATTTATTTATTTTTGTAAAAAAAAAGAGAGAAATTTCTTCCCCCAGGAGTCCATTCTTTCTACTGTCTCAACCCCCCTACTGGACCACAACTCCCAACAATCTCTTGCAGTCATCTGACAGCACCTTTTCACTTGCTAGGTAAACTCCTTCCACAGCTAACCAGGGTCTCTTGCTGATTTGTATTTCTGCGCATGTCATTGACTTGATGTGTAATTAGAACTCCTGAAGCCTGTCTCATGCTTTAATTGCCCTGACAGGGGCCACAGCATATCCGCTTGTTAATTAGTAAACCACAGTCTCCCAGGGGCTCATTGAGAGCTGCCTTAATTGTATTTCAGCTGGAAAGGAGGGATAATTACCCTTCCCTACCTCTGCTGCTTTTCAATCCCTTTTAAAAGAGAGAGAATGAAAGAGGTGCCTTCTCTTTTTTTAAAAAAACAAACAAACACACACAAAGATTTTTATTTAATTTACTTTTCCTTTTTCTGCTCCTCGGGTCTCCTTCTATGTTCTTTCTTTAACCAACAATACCACAAGCTGAGGTTTCTCTCTCTTCCTCTGTTTGCTCCTTGAAGTTTTCTTCCCCCTTCTCCTTGTTTAAGTCGCAGAAAACAGAAGTCAGGGGGAGGAGTGTTGGGGAAATAACATACGGATGCTTGAAAGCACATCTGAAGAAGATGCTGTCAGGAAGAAACCTTGTATTTATAGGCATGCCCATCTTCATCCATTTAGGCTGAAACCTAGGCCCATTTGCCTGGCAGGAAACCTCACAGGAGCAAACAGGATTTTACTATTAGAATCTGAGCTGCCTAGAGTACACATACCCCAAAAAAGAGGGGGGGACCTGACCGCTAATGATTTGCATAAAATTTGCCTGAGTCCATTTTATATATATAGATGCTGATTTAGTAATAATGGCTTGTATCCAATGTCATACGCTCCAACATTTCTCCAGTGAAAATAGGGATGTCCTATTTAATAATAATAATAATAATAATAATAATAATAATAATAATAATAATAATATTTACAGTGGAACCTCGGTTGTCGAACAACCAAGGCGCAATGGGCGGTTGGCAATTTCAATGGAGAAAACAGAGAAACGCGCCTCAGAAGTTGTTCAACTTCTGAGGCGCATTTGAAAACTGAAGCAATTACTTCCAGGTTTTCGGCGTCTGAGAACCAAAACGTTCAGCTTCCAGGACGCTCAAAAACCGAGGTTCCGCTTATGCTAGCAGACATACTGCCTAACCCAGGGGTCTGCAACCCGCGGCTCCGGAGCAGCATGTGGCTCTTTTACACCTTTGCCGCGGCTCCGGGGCGGATAGTAGCGAGGGGAGGAGGCGCATTGTGCGCCCCGACACTCCTCACTGTGGCGGGCGCTGTACTGGCTGTGACGTCGCATGGGGGCGGTGCGTGCGTTAGTCACGCACTGTCCCGACGTCACCTTCCCGCCCGCTGTCAAATCGCGGCTCCGGAGATATATTTGTTTTAAATGTCGCAATGGTTTTGTGGCTCCCAGTTTTTTTTCTCTTCAGAAACGGATCCAAGTGGCTCTTTTTGTCTTAAAGGTTGCAGACCCCTGGCCTAACCCCTCTTACACTACTGGAAGGGAGGGCAGGAGATCTCTCCCTCCTGCCCCGTGGCAAAGCTGGGTGATGTAACAGGGGTGCCGTCCCTTGGGATGGGGGTGTGTGTTGTTTTCAGTTTGAGGCGAGCAGTTCATCCTGCCTCACGGACTTCAGTCTTTGACTGTTTCACTTCCCCCAAAAGAGCCAAATGCTGGATCCCTTTTCTGACTCTGACACCAGGTGCTCTGCGGGCCTTGCAGCTGCTCCTCTGCCAGCTCCTTGCAAATTACATTCACTGGAGCTCAGCTGGAGCTGACATTGTGAAATACTTCAATTAGATGAAAATATTTCCTTGGCTATTTAGCTAAAGGCTCGGCAGAGCAGGAACAGCAGCAAAAATAGCTTCTGTCTTTGTGCTGTCCTTTGCGGAGATTATTATTATTGCTGTTATTATTGTAGGGCATCCCGGGGTCAGCTCTGAATGGAGCTGGTAAAAGTCCAGGATCCTAGGCCTACTGCTTGCCACGTTTTGGTCTTTCTCTGTTGGTTTGGTCTTTGGAACAGCCAATATTCAGCAGACACAACTACATTCCAAAGTATAAATCCCATTTTAACCAGTTGAGCTGTAACGCTGTTCCACAAAGTACCGTATTTTTTGCTCTATAAGACTCACTTTTTCCCTCCTAAAAAGTAAGGGGAAATGTGCGTGCGTCTTATGGAGTGAATGCAGGTTGTGCAGCTATCTCAGAAGCCAGAACAGGAAGAGGGATCAATGCTTTTGCTGTGCAGCAATCCCTCTTGCTGTTCTGGCTTCTAAGATTCAGAATATTTTTTTTCTTGTTTTCCTCCTCCAAAAACTAGGTGTGTCTTATGGTCTGGTGCGTCTTACAGAGTGAAAAATACGGTACCTGGGATTTGTAGTTTGGTGAGAGAATCACCTGGACTGATTCAGATTCACTTTATTCCCTTTCCCCAATGTTTCATTGCCTGATTAGTTTCTATGTTTTATGTGATCTTTCGCACGGGATAAAAAAACGCTTCTGGGAATCTAGCAGAAGTTTAAAGCTCATCTCCATGCTGATTGTTTTGGGTACGAGGGGAAATCTGTTTGAAACCCCATAAATCTGGGAAATTGTGGGAGCTTTGTGCAGTCATTTTCCCCTCTATTTTCATGGGCATGTGACAAACTTTCAAATGGTATTCTGGCATACAGTTCTTGCTTGCCGTCTTCATGGGGGAACATAAATGGTAGCGACCTTTCCAATGACATCCACTACTGTGTCACACCACGGATGTGAATGACATTTAGGGGGATGTGGCGATATATGCAGTGCTATTTTTCTAGAAAAAGAGGTGCTGGAACTCTCCATGAACAACACCCTTGTTCTCTCAGAATGGCAATGGTGCCCAACTGAGAGGTGCCCAACTGAGTTCCCCCGATAAAAAGCCCTGGGTATATTGATCAAAGGGACGCGGGTGGCACTGTGGGTTAAACCACAGAGCCTAGGACTTGCCGATCAGAAGGTTGGCGGTTCAAATCCCCGCGACGGGGTGAGCTCCCGTTGCTCGGTCCCTGCTCCTGCCAACCTAGCAGTTCAAAAGCACGTCAAAGTGCAAGTAGATAAATAGGTACCACTCTGGCAGGAAGGTAAACGGCGTTTCCGTGCACTGCTCAGGTTCACCAGAAGTGGCTTAGTCATGCTGGCCACATGACCCGGAAGCTATACGCTGGCTCCCTCAGCCAATAAAGCGAGATGAGCACTGCAACCCCAGAGTCAGTCACAACTGGACCTAATGGTCAGGGATCCCTTTACCTATATTGATCAAAAGGCCTCAGGTCCATAATTCAACAGTGTAAAAGAAATTATAGAAATCAAGGCAGAATTGCTACCATTCCAACCAGGAAAACGAATCCAATAATCTCTACATCTGAGTGTACTCCAAAACTTTACTTGCGATCTATAGACCTAACCCTTCCATCAGTTCTTGGCTAAAGGTTCAAGGTTTCAGTAGGCTGGTTTTAATTCTACCTATGGAAAAGGTATGAACTGCCTGTAGAAATCCATTGAGATCTCCCTTCCTCCATAGAAAAGTTTGAGCAGGCATGTTTATGTTCCATTGTTTGCCTCCATTGTTTTGTCATTCCAGTACCACCTGCAAGCCTATCTTGCATTAAGTGGAACATTAAAATAAATAAAAAAGAAGAGGTCACAGCATCCAGCTTTCTTCATTTGCTTGAGCCCTTGACGGAATTTAGAGGTTGCACAACAGTGGAATCCACTGCACTAGCCAATCCTTGTTGTGCAAGAGTTGTGCAATCTTTTGTGCAACAATCGTTGAAATGTACTTGTGTTTTCTCTTGCACAGTGCCACCAGTGCAAAAAGTATACCGTTAATTAAGTGACTTTAGCTGGGTGCCATATTGGCACTACAAGCCCTTGGTTTTGGCATTCAGCATATACCTAGCAGTTCCATCTCCACAGGGTGAGTTACACCACTGTTTTCACTATTTCACAAGTCCTGGAAACTCACAGGTCCTAGTTGGGTGATTTAGGGTGTGTGCATACCCACCAACATTTCTCCAGTAAAAATAGGGGCGTCCTATTCCATCATCACCATCACCATCACCATCATCACCATCATCATCATCATTTTATTATTTATACCCTGGTCATCTGACTGGATTGCCCCAACCACTCTGGACAGCTTCCAACAAATATAAAAATACAATAAAACATTAAAAATTAAAAAGCTCCCCTCTACAGGGCTGCCTTCAGATGTCTTCTAAAAGTTGTATAGTTACTTATATCCTTGGCTTGGGGTTATCACATAACTCCATACCCTCCAACATATCTCTGATGAAAATAGGGGCGTCCAGGACATTCCGGGATCAAATCAGAAACTGGGCGGCTTCTGTAAATTCAGGACTCTCCCTGGAAAATAGGGACACTTGGTGGGTCTCTCTCTCTCTCTCTCTGCATGAACGTAATCTAATTTTCAAACTTCCATATTTCTGTACATGCAAGGAGTCCCCCAATTATGTAGAAACCACTCCCTTACTTTTGCATGAGCCGCCACTCCCCCCTCAACTTTTCCCCTAATTTAAAGGGACTTTAATACCACTGGAATTTGCTACTGGAAAAAAACATGATAAAGGTGGCAAAAATCAGATGTGGGGATAGGCAGTGTGGGAGAGCTGTTGCCTTCATGCCATTGTTGTTGCATTAATACATTTATTCATCACTTACTGCATAAAATTCCTCAAAGGGACTTACAATGATAAAAGCATACATAACGCAAAAATGTGAAACATATGAGTTGTGGGCTTCCCAGATTTATCAGACTGACCACTATTGGAGACAGGATACAGGGCAAAACCAACCTTTCGTCTGATCTAGAAAGGCCTGTTCATAGCATCTTGAGATGCCTCCACAACATGCTGCCCCTCCCCTCCCGTATTTGGTGCCTCAAATGAAGATTGCCCTCATCTTTGTGCTGCCAGGAGGGATCAGGTCCCATTTCCGCAATTCTCGCCTCTTTCTCTTTCTCTCTCTGGGCCTTACGGTGGTTTGGTCCATCTGGAGGTGACAGGGAAATGAGAGACGTGAGATACAGTTAAATGTCATCTTTGATGGCTGTCATAGAGCATGTACCTCGAGCCCAGTACGGCACTCAGCATCAAGCAAGGGACAGAGAGCCCCTGCTGCTGTCAGAACATAGTAATTTTATTTCTGCTGGCCCCCCCGCCCATTGCAACTTCCATGACGCATTTTTCTAATGGATATATGCAGGTGAATAACAGCTTTCACCGCTGGGCTGTTAAATTTGAGAGCAAAAATGGATTGGCCCCATAAAGACATTTCAGAATCTTCCACTGCGGGTATTGATGTTGTGCATCTGTCAAATATTCAGTACTGTACCCAATATCACTATTTGACAAATTTGTGTATTTGTGTATGCATGAGCTGCTGCCTGTGATAGAGGTATTAGGGCCAGAGATGTGGCAGAATTGGGGTGCATATTATTAATTATAACATCACACCAGTTCTCCAGGGAGCTAATATCCACAGTTTCCTCCTTACTTCCGCTATCCCACTGCCACTTCACATTTTGTCCACACAAGAATCCAGTGAGGTAGGTTATGCTGAGACAGGAATTGGCCTAAGATCATCCACTGAGCTTCTTGGTTGAATGGGGATTTGAACCTGGGTCTGCCTGGTCCTGGTCTGGCCTGGTAACTGCTATGCTTCTCTCTCTCTCTCTCTCTCTCTCTCTCTCTCTCTCTCTCTCTCCCCTCCCTCCTCCTCCTTCTCTCTCTTTATAGGACCCCTTCAAACATCCTTTTTAAAAATGTGCATTCAAGGTGATTTGGGCTGTGATAAATGTTGTGTCAAAAAGACGTGGGTGGCGCTGTGGGTTAAACCACAGAGCCTAGGGCTTGCCGATCAGAAGGTCAGTGGTTCGAATCCCTGCAACGGGGTGAGCTCCTGTTGCTCGGTCCATGCTCCTGCCAACCTAGCAGTTCAAAAGCACGTCAAAGTGCAAGTAGATAAATAGGTACCACTCCAGCGGGAAGGTAAACGGCGTTTCCGTGCTCTGCTCTGGTTCGCCAGAAGCGGCTTAGTCATGCTGGCCACATGACCTGGAAGCTGTATGCCGGCTCCCTCGGCCAATAAAGCGAGATGAGCGCCGCAACCCCAGAGTCGGCCACAGACCTAATGGTCAGGGGTCCCTTTACCTTTACCTAAAAGTTGTGGCAGTTATCTGCGATTCCACTTTCAATACTGTTTGGACCTGCAGAAGTTGCAGGGCGGACGTGCTGTTTTGTTTCCAGTTGGGTGTATAACTTTCTGCTGAAATCCGTCAACTTTCCATAGCACAAAAAAAAGTTCCAGGTGGTGCTGTCTTTAAAACAAAATAACCCTGCCTTGGTTGTGCTATAGTGCAAGAGTGCCCCACCAGATGGCAATAATGCAGTAACATTGGAGCAGCATTGCCGAGCAACTAATAAAAGCAGAATGATGTGTGGGCGGTTCAGTATAAATTCACCACTAATGTTCTATTTTATGACATCGATGACATATTGCAGAATATACCTGCAAAAAAAAACCCACCTCACCAGTCTGGGTGGGTCCATATTGCCAGCATTCCACAGAGGAAAAGAGTGCCTATCTTTTAGTAACCTTATTTTCATGCCAGGGATAATTTGGTGAGCTCCATCAGTAGAGCATGAGACTCTTTAATCTCTGGGTTGTGGGTTTGAGCCCCGCGCTAGGCAAAAGATTCCTGCATCGAAAGGGGTTGGGCTTTGTTGTTGTTTAGTTGTTTAGTCGTGTCCGACTCTTTGTGACCCCATGGACCAGAGCACGCCAGGCACCTCTGTCCTCCACTACCTCCCGCAGTTTGGTAATGATCCAATTCTATGATTCTATGACATTGTTGAAAGTTCTTCATGCTGTCCAGGGCACTGCGTCCATTTCATGTCCTCCACAGATTGAAAAAGGTTGATAGGTCTTTTGCTTAAGGAGATAGTAGGACACTGGGACGTGGGTGGTGCTGTGGGTTAAACCACAGAGCCTAGGACTTGCCGATCAGAAGGTCGGCAGTTCGAATCCCTGCAACGGGGTGAGCTCCCGTTGCTCGGTCCCAGCTCCTGCCAACCTAGCAGTTCGAAAGCACCTCAAAGTGCGAGTAGATAAATAGGTACCGCTCTGGCAGGAAGGTAAACGGCGTTTCCGTGCACTGCTCTGGTTCACCAGAAGTGGCTTAGTCATGCTGGCCACATGACCTGGAAGCTGTACGCCGGCTCCCTTGGCCAGTAAAGCGAGATGAGCACCGCAAGCCCAGAGTCGGCCACGACTGGACCTAATGGTCAGGGGTCCTTTTACATGAGTCCTCTGGGGGTATGTATGGAAATTTAAGGAACTGTCATGGGGATCTCAAAATATAAATTTCACAGGGGGAAAACGGATGATTCTCAGAACTGCCCTAAAACAGGCAAAACACTTCCGCACACTCCAAAACAAAACAAAAAAGCGGGCAGTCAAGAAAAAGGCCAAAAACACCCAAATCAAAAAGTTTTTAAAATGAAGAGGGCAGAGAACTTTGGAGGGTGCAAAGGGAGGGGTGTCCGGGGGTGGGACGGGGACTGGTGTGTACAGACACCACATTGGGGACCCCAGTACTAAGAAAACATAATGGTTATCAACTGTACCCAGATATGCCTGCACTGTGCATTACTATCCAGGTTTTGGTGGGCATAAAAATTTGCAAAATGTCAAAGCGTTAAGCGAAAGAGATAAAGCACCCCCTTCTTGACCCCACTTTGGATTTTTATGCAGGGGGTTTGAACAAGTAGCTGTATTGAAATCCCCCCCCCCAATATTTGTAGATTATGCATCCTCGAGCTAAGATGGAGTGTTGTTTTTTCTTAAGCTTTCAGGTATGTAGGATTAAATATCTAATATGGGGGAGGGTGTGATTTGGACAGCTTTTTTTTTAAGGTGAGATGGCTAAAAGAAACATTTCTGTGGTCTGCTGGAGTGATTTTGATTTGGATCAGGACCACGGCACATGGGGGGGGGGCTAATTTTTCCTTTCCCAGCAATGATTCTGATCCCAATGGATCAGGGCATGGGGAAGGGGCATGCAGCAATTACATTTAGGGGGATGTTTCCATGGAGACCAATCAGAGTCTCTCCCCCCTTCCCAATATATATATATATATAGAGAGAGAGAGAGAGAGAGAAAGAGAGAGAGAGAGGTGCTGCTGCAATTGTGCCAGATCTGAGACTGGAAGAGGAACTGAGGCAGACTGGAAGAGGAACTGGAGTGGAAAGTCTGATTGGGAAGGGCAGCCGACAACACTTAAAAAAGAAAAAAAAAGAATCCATTGTCTGCCACATCCTAAAAAGTAAGTTAAGTCTAACCAGCCCCAAACCTGCAAAATTCTTAGCAATTTTTCCCATCCCTTCCCAACTTTCAAGGTGGTTTCTTAAACCTCTTTCACCAGCCGTGAATGGTCAAAAAGAGCTAGGCTGAAAATAACTGGCTCAGATCTATTTTGAACTAAAACAGAGAAAGAGCCCCCAAACCTTTGGGAGATCTGATCACGTGCCAAAACAGAACACTGAAATGCATATTTGTTTAAACAGATGTTTTGTCTTGATGTGCTATTTTTCTGGGATTTTTGTGCAGCAAAATTCTTGGACGGTCCAGAAAAATGCATAATTATATCAAGTTATTGGGGAGTGGGGTTCCCCCCAAATGGATGCACATGCAGATGTGCAAAGGTGCAAATCTACATCAGACATGCAACTTGAAATTCATTTGAAAAATGTTTCTTCCCTCCAAAAATTCTGGGTCCTGTACGTTTGTTGAGGGTTGTAACTCGGGGGTGTGTGGGGGTGTGTGTAAACTACAGTACCCAGAATTCTTTGAAGAGGAAAATGTGCTTTGAATGTGCTTTAAAAGTATTTTGCATACAACGCCTGTGTGGGTACAAGGGAGGATCATGCTGCCTACTGCAGATGGCTGAACAATCATTTTGGGCACACGCAAATACATATTTTATAGAAATATGTATTTAACTTCCCCATCAATATAAGTGAGCATCATTTCTGATTTGTGGAGTGCACCATCTCTCCCTCTCCTGCAAAAAAGAGAGAGAGAATACATCCTTTGCTGAACTGTCTTTATTATTATTTATTTTGTGGGGAAACCTGAGTGTGTAAGGAGAATTGCTTGCTCACAGGAGCTCATCCTCCCCCACAACCCACACACTGGGTGTTTCTATGCAACTGGCTTTTCTGGGCATGCCTTCTGACAGGAAGGAAGTGATCCCAGAGACACTTGATTCATGCAGAGATGGAACAGTTGTTCTTATTAAAAGAGGATTAGACGAATTCATTGAGGATAAAGCTATCGATGGCTGCTGCCCACAATGGCTATGTTTTACCTCTGCTGCCAGGGACAGTGTATCTCTGAATCGAAGCTACTGGGAATCACAAGCAGGGAGAATGCTCTCGCACTCAGGACCTGCTTGGGGGCATCTGGTTGGCCTCTGTGAGATAGGATGCTAGACTAGATGGGTTCATTTCCCTGATCCAGGCTCCTCTTAATGTTCTTAACGGGTCTTCCTCTAAGGTGGTTGTGCCCAGTGGCGTGTGCTTTTGAATCGACCCTTCCCACTTGTTCCAGAGACTGTGCCAAATTGCCTGTCCGTGATGGAGGCTGATTGGAAATGGTTTCGCCTGTGTGGCACCTTTTTGAGGCTTGAATTATTGTGCTTATTTTCTCAGTAATGCAAGCGCACAGCTCAGGGACTGGTGTGTAGCAGGCAGATAGCCCAGTTCTCTTGCAACGAACATCCATTCGCCCCATCTGCTGCAAAGCGTCCCGAATGGAGGATGTGTGTGTCTGAGAGAGAGAGAGATCAGCCCTGCCCCCCCCCCATTTAGGGATATCAGGGTAAATCTCATTAACAAATGCAATTAACAGAGGGTGGCCTTCCTTTTCCCACCCTAGAAAGAGATGTATGATGTTAAGGGGGTGGGGGAAATTTACAACTATTTATTGAACAGCGGGCGCACCCCGGCTTATCACGACAGACAGGAAATTACAGCTCCGAGCTGTGCGTTCCGCTTATAATAACTTTGGCAATAAAAGGGTCTCGTCGAACGTGGCCAAGCCGGAGCGATAATGAAGCCTGAAAGGCCCATAATTGCAATTCATTCTTCCAAGGTTAAGCCAGTTAAAGGTGTGAGTGGAGCCTTGTGGGAATCGGTCTTTCAGTAGTAGAGGCAGTGAGGCTCCTTTAGGCTGGATCCTTCTGTCTTCAAAGCTTCATGGGGGGCTGGGGAGACTGGGGGGGGGGACTGGCCCAGGAAAGCAAATGGGTCACTGCCCCATCATCCTCAGTCTGCCTTCAGCGAGCTCCCACCTGCCTGTCTTCTTACTCAAAACCAATCTGGAGGGTGGCCCTGCCTGCCAAATTCCTCCTCCCCTTTGGTCTCAGGCCACAGCCACATCAGACATTTAAAGCATCAGCACTTCAAACAGTTATTGCTTCCCCAAAAGACTTCTGCAAGCTGTAGTTTGCTAAGGGTGATGAGAGTTGTTGTTGTTGTTTAGTCGTGTCCAACTCTTTGTGACCCCATGGACCAGAGCACGCCAGGCACTTCTGTCTTCCACTTCCTCCCACAGTTTGGTCAAATTCATGTTGGTAGCTTCGAGAACACTGTCCAACCATCTCGTCCTCTGTTGTCCCCTTCTCCTTGTGCCCTCCATCTTTCCCAACACCAGGGTCTTTTCCAGGGATCTTCTCTTCTCATGAGGTGGCCAAAGTATTGGAGCCTCAGCTTCACGATCTGTCCTTCCAGTGAGCACTCAGGGCTGATTTCCTTCAGAATGGATAGGTTTGATCTTCTTGCAGTCCATGGGACTCTCAAGAGTCTCCTCCAGCACCATAATTCAAAAGCATCAATTCTTCGGCGATCAGCCTTCTTTATGGTCCACCTGGAGCAGGAACCGGCAAGCCACTCCAGTATCCCTGCCAAGAAAACTCCATGGACAAAGACAACAGGCATATGAGAGTTGTTAGGAAGCCCCTATTTCCCCAACGGAGCTACAAGTCCAGGAGCAGACTTAACAGACTACAGCTCCCAGAATTCTTTGGGGGAAGCCATGACTGTTTAAAGTGGTTTCATAGTGCTTTAAATGTATGGTGCCATACCGCTCAACTGACCTTTTGGTCTGGCGCTCTGCCACGAACCAGCTGACTCACGCAAGAACCCCAGACCATTAGGCGTTCCTCAGCAGCGGCGCTCTCCTTGTGCAGCGCCCTCCCATCAGATGTCAAGGAGATGAAAAACTACACAACTTTTAGAAAACATATGAAGGCAGCCCTCTATCGGGAAGTTTTTTATGTCTGCCATTTTATTATGTTTTTATATGTGCTGGAAACTGCCCAGATGGGTGGGGTAACAACAACAACTATTATTATTATTATTATTATTATTATGTGGTTATATTTCTTAGGCAAAATTTCCTCTGTTCACCTGCGACAGGGAGATCACCAGATTGCCATTGTCTTGATATTGTTATCCTGCAGAAAGTGGCTAAACACCAGAGAAATTTTTCTGTCACTGACAAAGACCACAGAAGCGAGAGAGGGATAAATATCTAATGCGCTGCGATGCACCAGCTCCGCTGGGCTCTGCAAAGTTAACAATCCCGGCTTCTTGCTAATCGCTTCTCAAGGAGACAAAACGAGACATGTCTAGGCTGGGGCTGAGAAATGAGGCATTTTGGAGTCACATCAGGAACGTGCTGGTATCATTGGAGGCCTCGGCTCACCGCATGGCTTCCCGGGCAAAGAGAAGGCATTGTTATTCAGCATTAGGGCTCTCGGGGACTTTACCTGGAATTACTGATCCACATTCATAAACATGATTGTGTTAATTGTCTGCCAGAACAGTAGCTCTCATCTTCCATTGCCCTCCCTCGCAGCGCTGGGCCATCCGCCACATTCATGTCCCTTTGCACTCCAAATGCTGAGATGTCTTTATTCCACATCTGGCTTTGATTAGAAGAGAAGGCTGGGAATGGTGTGAGAGGGAGGGAGGGAGAGACAGGCAGGTGAAGGCTGTGGAAGGAGCAAAAATTAAGGAAAGACAATGAAATCAAGAAAGCTACCAGAACAGAAGGGTCATTGATCAGTTGCAAAACCCTCCCTTTCTCTTGACAGCCTCGTGGAGGAGTTCTAAACACCCATTTTGGGTAGCCTTTCCCAACATTTTTGGTCCCTCCCGAAGACGTCAAAAGTGGGAGAATAAATGGATTGTGATCATTGCATTGGTCTTCTTCACCAGCTCCCTAGGATTCAGGATTCAGGACCAAGTTGCTTGTGGTCCACCATAGAGGCTTTTTACACCCAGCTGCCTACGATAATTTGTTGACTGTTGTTGCTTATTGAGGAAGTCGGCAAGGAGAAGGAGGGGAAAAGATGGAGCAAATGAAACCTTGGATGTAGAAAAGGGGGATCAGAGAGATGAGATGGATAAAAATCTGTTGATCGATGGGTGGTGGGAGAAAGGGAGGGTGTGGTGCCGACAGATGAGAAAGCCCTATGAGAGCAGGGAGAAGAAAGGGGGCTAGTACTGGTTGCAGCGTAGGAACGAGGGAGAAATTTGATCCAGTTTGCATTCAAAAGCAACTGTACCTAATTTGCACTTTCTGAAACTGTACGCAAACAGGAACTCGGCCATCCTTTGAAATTGGCATCTCTCCAAATTTTGCAGCACAGTTCTCCAGCCATTTAATGCATACAGAAATGCACACACTAGCATAAAGCGTGCATATAAAGGTGTACATTAGTGAAAATAACTTACAAAAAGGCATTATACCAGGGAACATTGATTTGCAGAAATGTGTTTACTAGGCAAAATTGCATACGAAATTAGGAGTAATTTGCACAAACATGCTGCCAGGTTTTGATGAGGACTTTAATAGTAATTATAATTCACAAACTGATGCGAAAATTTTGGGAGCTGAATCTTAGATTGGGAGAATGAGAAAGCAAGGGCAACCATTGACCTAGTTGCCCATCCCTATTGCAAAGAGACCAGAAGAGTAGGGAAAGAAAGAGGGCAGAGATGAGGGTACAGAGAGAACATGGGGGACTCAGGATTGCTATCTGAGATGATGCACCTTGCTCTGTCCTTGGTGCTTTGAACACTGCAATACCAGTGTTCCAGGCACCCTGGGAAATATAGATTTCCCAGAGCACCTGAGTACAGATACCAGGTGCCACACTCTTCCTCCTCGTCAGACTCTTCAAAAATCTCACTGTCACCCAACTTTTGCATTCAAACCCACCTGTTCTCAAGTAGCCTAAGTCAGACCTCTGGGGAAACAGGTGGTTGATGGAAGTCACGATACCAGCAGAGCTGCAGGATCAGGGCCACAAATTGATTTAGCGTGCATGACCACTTTTTGCATAATTCACGCCCACGTTTTTGATGCAGACAGATGGCCAGGCAGCTGTATTTCCACTTCAAGGTGGAATGGGGAGTGGGGAAGGAAATACCCCAGAGTCCTTATGGGGATATAAAACTGGACAAATTTATCAAGAGATAGCCTGCTGCTGAAAAATAACTCAGAGCAATTCTTAATAAGAAATTACTATCGAGAATCCGGAACAAAAGCGAAGGCTAGCAACAGCAAAAAAATAAATGAACTAAACTAAAGCGGGGAATGGAATCTTTTGCATTAAAACGTTCCAATTTAAAGCAAATTTGAGGCAATTTATACTTTTCCTTTCCTGTCTAGAAGTGGGTTGGAAAGCAAGTCAGCAGAGGGGTGAGGCGGGGAGAGGAATCAACTTCTCTAGTGTTTCTTGCATTTGAAACAGCAGTCTGAAAACACCACTTTTTTCCACGGTCTGATATGGCATCAAGTAGAGGAAGTGGGTTCAAACCGACCCCGGAAGTGGTGATAATGATGTAATCATACAGTGGTGTGCAGACAAAATAAATTCTTCGCGAGTTTCGTCTTGTTTTTTCTCTTGCGAGAACAGTTTCGGAAAAGTGGTAAAGCTTCACAATCACCAAAGCTTAAAACTCAAAAAAGGCTAACACCGCGTGCTATGAGTTGCTCTCAAAGTCAAGTCGCAACTGTTAACGGTTTTACTTGCAAGACGTTTCCGTCTTGGGAAGCAAGCCATAGGGAAATCGTCTTGCGAAGCAACTAAAAAACAAAACCTTTCGTCTTGCGAGTTTCGTCTTGCGAGCATTCGTCTTCGAGGTACCTGTCCTTCTATTCAGAAGTAAGTCCCAATGAGTTCAGCGAGGCTTACTCCCAAGGAAGTATTTTTGCCAACCTGGTGTCCTCCAAATGTCTTGGACAGTGAATCCCATCACCCCTGACCATTGGCCATGCTGGCGAATGGGAGTATTAGAGTCCAACAATATTCGGAGTGCTGGAGACTCAGCATCCCTGGCCTAGAGTGTTCTCACTGCCATCAGCCCCAGCCAGCACATTCAGGGATGATGGGAATTATTATCCAAAACATCTGGCGGGCACCAGGTTGATAAAGGCGGGTGTATAGGATTATGGCTGAAACCTTTTTCTGTTCTACATTTCTGATGCATGATAGGAAAATCCCAAAGCAGTTAACAAGAGTGAATTAGGGGTGGGGGGAAACCACCCACCAACAATTAGCAATTAAAAAAATGTTTTAAAAATAAAGCTGCAGTTGAAAGGCAAATCACAGCAGGGAGAAGCAGCAGCAGAGACAAGGGGTTTTGGGTTCCATTTCTGTAAATTGTCATGGAGATATGAAGACATGAGAGTACCGGGTACTAAGTCTATCTTGATAATTTTCTAATGTGCTATCTATCTATCTATCTATCTATCTATCTATCTATCTATCATCTATCTATCTACCTGGTTTTTTGTGATGGTACTGAGCAGTACGGAATACTGGTTCTTTTTGCTGCCCTTAGCAGCCAATATGTGCTGGCATCTACAAGATGTGAGTAGCAACACCTAATCCCCCCCCCCCGGGTGCTATTAATTATCTGTATTTGTTTTATAACCAACACTCTCTTTGTGTAAGGGCAGAAGAAGTTCCCAAACTGTGGTCTACAGACCACCAATAGTCCATGAGTTTCAGCCAGGTGGTCTAGGCGTGTCTGTGGATTTGTGGCCTGATGACGGCCCATGAAATAGTCATATTGATTTTCCATTCATTGTTATTTGAGTGGTTTCTTTTATTCCTTATATATTGCACTTTATTGTACTACAGTTTTAATTTTATGGAATATGGTTGGATAACATGTGTGCATGCCTATGGAGGCACTGTAACAGAAATTATAATCCTGGGGGCCCCAGCTTGGTGTTGGCTCTTAATTTTTTTTATATAAATTTCAACAGTTTACAAATTTAATACAAAATACATACTTTCCCATTAATATTCAACTACTATTTGACTTCCCATCCACCATAGTTTCCCCATAGTTTCTAATATTGCTGCATATTTTAATTATTCTATGCCCTATCCTTTCCACTTACAGTGGTACCTCGGGTTACATACACTTCAGGTTACAGACTCCGCTAACCCAGAAATAGTACCTTAGGGTAAGAACTTTGCCTCAGGATGAGCACAGAAATCGTGCTCCAGCGGCGCGGTGGCAGCAGGAGGCCCCATTAGCTAAAGTGGTGCTTCAGATTAAGAACAGTTTCAGGCTAAGAACGGACCTCCGGAACAAATTAAGTACTTAACCCGAGGTACCACTGTATTCACAAATGCATATTTACTGCTGTTTTTCATCCAGATCCTACTTGTGCTTTAGCATTTTTACAATAACTCTTTTAATATTCTACAAAAGGTTTCCAGTCCTCCTTAAAATCTGCCTCTTCTTGATCGCTAATGTTCACAGCATGGTGGTGGCTTTTGGACACAGCAGCTTCATCTGACATGCTGCCTTGGTCTCTGCCAAAGCCCCATAATTTTTTGAGTCACCCAGTGAGCTCCAAGATCGTTAAGGATTTGAACCCAGCTCTCTCCCTAGCCTGACACTCTGCCCAGCCTTTGCCAGCTCTCTCCAGATGTTTTGGACGGCAGCTCCCATATAGGTCTGATAGCAGTTGTAGACCCAAATATCTGGAAAGCTCTAGGTTGGCCAAAGATCTCTAGCCACTAGACAACACTGCTTCTCTTTGTTGCAGTACACTGCAGAATGACAGCGCGCCACAACGGATGCAATAATTCTGTCTGTGTTTGGTTGTGTTTTTTTCCAAAAGGTTTGCTTGACACAGTCGACAGCTCCTGCTTTTCCAAAGACAGATCGCTTGAAGGAGAAGCTCGTCTCTCTTGCCTCAGGAATTCTCTCAGGTACATTAGCTGTACTTTTCAGGTCACTGAAGGGGGATATGGCAATATGATGAAAAGGTCAGCAAATGCTACCAACCTGATCTCTCCACGTGAACTGGAACTTGAAGTAACATCAGTGGGCAGGAACGAGGGGAGGGAGGAAGAGTGAGGGAGAAGGGCCGGCTCTCAAATTCTTTCCACTCCATAAACTGCTCTTCTGTGCAAGGAAAATCTCCCCCGTTCATGCAGAAAAAATGCAGTGAAACCTCACTCTGTTCTGGGTTTTCTCAAAGTCATTCCCAATGTCCCCATGATAGTAGGGCTGTCCACATAGCTAGGCTTCAAGATTGCATCTGAAGCTACGATGTCCCTGTGTTTGAGTCAACTCTCCTTTATTTCACTTGGGCTTGTACATAACAGATTTCGGGTAAACTGAGGCCCATCCCATGCCCTGATTTTACTTATTTTTATTTACTGCACTTCTAAGCTGCCTTATAATTAACTTGGGAGATCCCTGCCTAAATAGGTCTTTCTTTCCCCTTCCTTCCTTATCTTTTGCCACTATTATCAACCATGGCTTAGCACAAATGTTCTGGAGCAAAGATTGTCCTCTTGCTTCTGTGCTACCCAGGTTTGGCTTACTGTTTCATCCAAACCGGGACTTGTTGTTTGTCTCCTTTCCAAACCACCAGCTATTGCCCAGATTTGTTCTTGGTTCACCACTCATTTTTGTTTTGGGGGAGACAAGCCACCAGCTTGGGTTTTGATGT